AATTGGCGCTTGACAACGCATTTGAAGACACCACCGAATTCTGAGGGAGAAGATTTGTATTTTTGGTAGAATTAGAAATTATGCCAAGGTGGAGATTTGTTGAATTCAAAGTCTCAATTGATAACTTTTTTCAAGCCAAAATTGAGGACTTTGAAATCTTTGGCCTAAGTTTCTAAATCCCACATCGGTTAGTTTAACATTTGAGAGGTTGCTTGAGAGCTATAAATAGCTCTCAAACAAACCAATTCAAGTACACCAAGCAAGAGCTAATAACTTGCTTCCTTCTTTCTCTTTGTAATATTTCTTCTAGTGAAATATTAAATTGTCGGTAGTGTCTGAGGATGTAGGCAAATTAGCCGAACCTCATTAAATTCTGGTGTTCTATTTTATTGTCTATTTAGTAGCTATATATATAGGTATTTTTGTAGTGAGTTATTGTGCAATTAATTGCATATATAGGTGATTCTGTTTAGGAAATTGGTACTTAAACAGGCTAGTGTGCCTCACCAAATATTTCCTGGGAATTACTGTTTTGCAATTTTAGGTACAATAATTTACTCATTATACCTTAATTTGGTAGAGCTTCCGCAACAATTTCTTCATCAAACTCTATCATAAAAGTAATCTTGCTAATATCAATCTTAGTTTAGATAGTACTACTCAGAAAGAGTCTTCCTCCTAATATAATAGGTGATGAATTTGGAGAATTTTTATCATCCATATAAAGCACATAAAAATTAGTAAGAAAAACTAATTCATCTACTTGAACTGAAATATCCTCAATTACTCCATCTGGATAAGCATATGTACGATCATTTAATTGAATTATTATCCCTATTTCTTTTAAAGGGTTTAAATTTAGAGAATCATAAATGGTTTTACGTATCACATTAATAGATGCTTGATAAGAGTATATTTTACGTATTTTTTAGTGCATTTTATTAGTTAGTTTTGGTGTTTTTTAACTACTTTTATAGCTAATTAACTAGGATTCTAGTGAAAATACGCATTTTGTGGTTCAAAGTGTAAAAATTGCATTTCTATGGATTTTATTGGTGAAAACTTCATGTTTTTGTAGGTTTAATGATTCAATCATCAAAGGGAGTGAATTGAGAAGAGAATTGGATGATTATTGATGATTTAAAGAGGTTTAAAGAAGATATGAAGTGCAAGAGAAGAAATGCAATCAAGAACAAAAGAAGAAAAGTTTCACAGTTTTGACACCTTGTGGTATTTTGGCAATATCTTGAACTACAAGCATCAAATTGAGGTGATTATTATACCATTTTGAACCTAAGAGATATATCTACATTTGGTGTGAAGATATTAAAGTTCAGTTCAGTCGTTTTCCTTGTCAAAAAGTTGAAATACAGGAGTGCAACTATGTTGTCAAAAGCTGAAACAGAGCTCTGACCAATTGAGAGTATTTTGGTCATTTTTCGGTCCACAGAGCACCAAATGGGATGATTCTTAAGGCATTGGAAATCTAACGCAAAGGGCTACAACTTTTGTAATTTACACAAGAGCCAATTCGGTCTTCATCATCAAGAAAATAGCAGTTGAAGTGGTACCAAATGCAAAGAAGTGAAAATGCGACTTCATGAATACGTGGTTTGAAGTCGCATATTCTCTTATGTTTTCTGCAACTTGCTCATCAACTTGCCCTGCTTTCACACAACATTTTCAGCTTAATTCCATCTATCAATTCCGGCTATGTCTGATCAAGAAAAGGTTGGAAAGTTAGAAAAATAACTCATGAGAGTTTCAAGAGTCAAAAATGACAACTAGAAACAACTCATTTGGCTCTTGAATCCTCTATAAATAGAGACCTTTGGAGAACATTTTAAAAACTTTGGAAGGCTAGAGAAACTTACCAAAAATGTAGTCTTCACTAGAGTATTCTTAGTTCATTAGTTAAGGTAGTATAGAGTAGTTAGTGTAGGTTATCCTTCTTGTATTTGTAGTTAGATTTGGATGAAAATTGAGGAGCAAAGATGGAGAGTTTGAAACTTATGTAACAAGGGTGACATCTCTTCTATCACTTTCTCTTTTGTACTTAAGTTTATGTTTAACTATAATATAAGTTTGGATCCTGTTTTTCATGTTTAGTTAAAGTTTATGCCTAAAATTATGGATGAACTTTCTATATCTTGTTAGTGATATTTACTTGGTTATATGATGATATTATCTTGAGCAAATTATTTATTGCTTTTGCTTTTCTAATCATGATTAACCAGCCATTAATTATGATTATCTAAAGGTGTTAAGTTTGCAATAAAAATTGGAATTTAACACTAGTTCAAAGAAGTGATAAACTTAGGGAGTTCACTCACGAGAGTAGAGGAACACCTTTGTGGCTTTAGTGACTTGTTTCATGTAATTTCATAGAAGAAATGAGTTTGTAGTTAATTTCATAACCACAAGAATAGGTATGGTTTAGTTATAAGTATAGTTGATTTACTACAAGAGTATGTTTTACATATATTAGGAAATTACGTCATAACTGACCCAAATAATAGCATTCACTTAACCGATAATCTCATTTACAAGAGTAGTAAAGAATTCCATATCTCTAAGAGTTTTCTAGTGTTATTTTCATTACTTTTATGTTTATGGTAGTCTAAATAATGGAGGAGTTCAAAAAACACTAGTAATTGAAAATTTTCCCTTTGGGTTCGATCCTTACTACCCTATACTCGTTTTCGACTCGTATACTTACGAAAAATTGCGTGTGGGGTATTTAAAATGTTATAAATGTAAAACTTAATTGTGGACAAACTAATTGTATATATAGACCCCGCGCACGTCAATACTCCTAAATCTAACATTGCATTTCTTATTCTAGTATTTTCTATCTTACAGGGGATAGTAAACAGATTTGAATCCCTGCATTTGGGTGAATATTTTTTTTGTAATACTGTTGATATATCCTCTCAATTTTCTCTTGTTGATGCACAAGTTCTTCAAAAATTTAGCATATTTTGGCACCTGCTTGATCACATCCAATAGAGCAATATTGATTTTCACCTTCCAAAACACTTCCAAAATCTCTCTTTCTTTGTTCTACTTTTTCAATTTCTCTAACTTGTTAGGAAAAAGAGACGGATTAGATTTAACTTGAATTGCATGATTAGAAATTACCTTAGGACTTATACAATTTTATCCTTCTTTTTCAATCTCTTTTTCAATATGATATTCACTTTTATCCTTTGGACTGATCAACTTGGGTTCCTCTATCTCTTTGCCACTCCTGAAGGTCATAGTGCTCACATTCTTAGGGTTCACCTCAGGTTGGCAATCTTCCTTTCACTCTGGCTTCTAGGCAATTTATCACAGTCGCCAATTGACTCACTTGATTTTTCAAATTGTGTATACTCGCCTTCGTTTTCTACTGAAATTGTAGAGTGTTGAAGACAAGGTTTTAACAATGCCTTCTAAAGAGTTACATGAATTAAAAGATGAAAGTTGAGCTTTTGGCAAGTATTGAGGTTGGAACCCTTACAGTTTATTTTGGAAAAATTGGATTGCTTGTTCTCTCCATACTTAAGGTTTGGATGATCCCTCGAACGTATTGGAGTATGGATCATATTCCCTACATGACACGGGCATGTTACGAGTCATATTCACTTATTTAGCACCCTCCTCTTGAAACATTGGATACATATCCATGGAGTGACCTATATTCGTGCAAATTCCATATGTCCTGACTTGTTGCGAATTTCCTACAACCAATTGTCATACAAAAGAGATAAGTTCAAATAATTGCTGTTGAATAGATGAAGCATTTACCTCATTCACTCTATGAATAGGAGTATTATTGTGAAAACATTTATCTTATTCACTCTACAAAGAGGTGAGTAACACATTTACAAATTACACACAATTATCAATAGGAAAGATTTTACCAAACTTGGTCAGTCTAGCCGACTCACACAAAAATTCATACAACTCCACAGATTGCGCTCACAACTTAACACTTCCACAATACACCAAATTTTGCCTACACAACAGCCGGCAACAAATATCCCCAGAAAATTCAGTCATACTACACAAGATCAAACCTCTTGATTTTTTTAGATGGAGGTGATGCCCACTTATTACTTATCGTTAGCCTGATGCTTTTTTGACTTCCCCGAAAATTTATTTTTGGGTTCACAAGATAGAATAGGACACATATTATATGAGAAACTTTCAGATTCACAAATGGGGTTTATTAATCTCTCTACAAATACAAAATTTCATATTTTCATAAATCTACAAAAATTCAAACTAAAACTATTTGCACAATATTCCATGAATTATGTAACATTCACAATGAAAAATTTACAAAATCTATATCATATGTGACAAGATTTGAAATTTTACCAAATACATGTTTCTAGTTTTTAAACATGATTTAGCAAATATAGTAACAAAATTCATTTGCAAAGCATATGAACTCCAAACAAGTTTTCAAAAGGAGTACTCACCTTCAAATTTCAAACTTTATTCTCTAACGGAACCAGTTGAGTATTCACTTTCATTTTTCTTTACTAAGCTAGAAGCGAAGCCTGCACTAAGCGCAAGAGTTTTAACCTATGTGATAAAATATTTATTCAAATAAATTTATAAAAAAGATAGTAAAATTAGAACTACATGGTAATTGGTTTAATTGAATCAGTTGACGTGCATGAAATTATAAGTAAATTGGCCAAATCAACAAACTTATAAACGAAAACAATTTTATAAGTAAAAGAAAGGGAATTTCGCCAATTAGGTCCCTAAACATTTTCACTTAAACCAATTTCGTCCTTAATGAAATATTTTAACCAATTTAGTCCTTGAACTAATTTTTTACTTCCAATGTAGGACTTTTGACTACATTTTATTCCCTTCGCGTGGACCAACAGGGGTATAATTGTCACACTTGCTTAATCTGCTGCAATTATTCGAAAGACACAGATTACAGATCATTACAAAAAGGGGCGAGCATCTGGGTTTGAAGACATTAGGGAATCTTGTTAGTAGCAAATAACTTCTGACTTTTGAAATGGGAATGAGGAAATTCCACAATTTATCAGGGGAAGATCTAGTACAATAAGAGCACTAGCAAGAATCAGTTGAAATTATTCTCAACACACCTCATTCCCCAATGAGAACAAGACTATGATCAAAACCTGCAACAGCTTCCATAACTTCACAACCTTCCAGATCTTCAACTACCATAGGTTCTGGTTCATCAGCCGAGCTGCCCAAGCCAAGTCTATCATTTCTACCACAGCCCCAAGTCCAAAGTTCTTTCCTAGCTGTGATAGCCATTGAATGAGCCCGTCCCCCCGATACTGTAATAGGTGTCTCACTAGAAAGTGCTTCAACCACCAGCGGGATATTTGCTAGACCATTTCTCCCAAGTTGAGAATTGTGGTTCCATCCCCATGAAACAACGATTGGTGAGTCTTCAGTAACGTCTGATGTGTGATTCTGACAGACTGCAAAAGAATGCCCCATACCCGATGCTATAGAAAGAGGACGGAACTTTATGTCAACTGGATGCATCCCTGAATCTTGGTTTACTCTACCCAACTGGCCATACACATTGCTCCCACTACTTAAAAGAGTTTCATCCCCTGCAAAAGCATGTTACATGATCAATATATATCAGCATCAGATATTCTTATTATTATTATTATTATTATTCTTTTGTAGGTAGCATCAAATATTCACCAATGTACAAATAATTTGTATGACTTACCACAAAGAACCAGGGAATGGTCAAGCCCACATGACACATCTACAACTTCAACATCACATAGTTCTTCAATTAAATTGGGTTCCCAAATGATTGGCATGTCCTTTTCTTTCTCAATACCTTCCTAGACCAAAAAGATGGAGTCAAAGATAATTCTTTTAAGGACTTGCACTTAGATGAAGGAAATCAGATTCGAGTCCATGAGGAATCTGATTCACTCGCCTCAGATGAGTTGAATAGTTGCCAGTCCTCCTCGGATGAAGACAGCAGATTCCCTAATGTCTTCAAACCCAGATGCTCACCCCTTTTTGTAATGATCTGTAATCTGTGTCTTTCGAATAATTGCAGCAGATTAAGCAAGTATGACAATTATACCCCTGTTGGTCCACGCGAAGGGAGTAAAATGTAGTCAAAAGTCCTACATTGGAAGTAAAAAACTAGTTCAAGGACTAAATTGGTTAAAATATTTCATTAAGGACGAAATTGGTTTAAGTGAAAATGTTTAGGGACCAAATTGGCGAAATTCCCTAAAAGAAATAGAATTATAGTAGATAATCACACCATACCACAATAACAATAACAAAAACATCATTATCTTTGTTACTATACCATTATCACACAATCATAGCCATATCCAATCAACTATAATGTCAGATTTAAATTTTACCTTGGTCATGATATTGTAGTCAATAAATAATCTTTAGTCATAGTTTAACCACCTGCAACCATGAATATCAGATTTTGAAAATATAGTTAGAAAATGTAAGAAGGTTCCTATGGATATTCATATGTATGTATCATCTATTCCATAATGAAATTTCCATATTCATACAATAGCTATTGAGAAAATATTACAGGAGAAAACTCATAATTTTTGTTGTATCAGTTAAACATCCAAAACTCCAGAAAGAGTGAAAGTAAATGAGCATATCTTTCCAAAAACCCACGTCAAAAGATTGAGCACAAGCACTTGAAGCAATATTCTTCAGTATTAAAAGCCTCCATTATTGTCAAGTTGAAGAGCACTACAATTATACTTGTAACGGATTGGAAATATAAACCAAAACCAATCGTGTTTATTATTAAGTACTTCTTGAACCAATCATCTTTAACATTAAAATCCTCTGTTATTGTAGCTATAAAAGCTACCCATCAATTATAAAAGAAGACAAAGAGCATTGCAATTACATAATATTTGTAAGTGGTTTAAAAGCCATTTAAAAGCTTGATAATCACGTGAAATATAAACCAATTGCAAATGGGAGGACATAATAGTCAAATCCAACTCAACTATACATTATAATGTTGCACATTTGGTTTAATCACTTGCATTTGATTTTTTTTCCCTACCAAAATTATCCCTAAAGATGGCAGATTAAAAATTTTCTAATAGTAACCTACAAACTCCTTTATATATATATATATATATATATATATATATAGGACTCTCACACTTTTCAATTTTCCTAGGATTTTTTCCTATTTTATTGTAGCTTCTACTTCCTTCGTCATGAATTAGAATTATTGAAAAGTTTTTGTAACCTCCCTTTATTAACTCCCCAAACAATTACCATATTAGTCATAAAAGAAGCCTTAATGTCTTCCAAATAATTTCCTTAATCATTCAAAGGCTCTCAAACATAATTTTAATTCAATTACAAATTCTTCAATTTTTTTACTTTTTCTCTCTACTAATTAGCATTTATTTTAGATTAAATTTTAGAATAATAATCGTTAACTTATCCATTTATTGTTCATGCTAATTTATCACTTCTCTAATTATTTCTAACTTTAATTCTTGTAAGTTACATAAAAATATTCTGATATAAGTTTTATTGTTCATGCTAATTTATCACTTCTCTAATTGCTTCTAATTTAATAATTTCATTTCTTTTTTTGTAATAAGTTTAACTGATCATATTCTTTAAAGTTTCTAACGATTCACTGCTTTAAAGAAATAGATCATAAATTTGCAATAAACAAATCTTATTCCCAAATAAAATTAATCCCTGAAACATGGTAAATTTCAAACTAATATGTCTAAATTTTCAAACAAAAAATTGTAGGGTGTCACATTAAGGCTTTTTTTGATAACTTAGTTCAGCACTTAAATTTAATGAATTCAGATCTTATTATATTCAGACCATTTGATAACCAAAAATTAAACTTCTGAATTAATTAAGTGACACTGAATTTTCTAGGCAAACCTTACTCTAAAAATTAGGTGATAAGCTATTCACTTATTATTGAATGTGAAATGTACTCAAATGTATTAGATTTAATATTTAACAATTTAATAATTTAATAAATTCAGATTTTAGATTTTAGATTTTAAATTTCAGTTTTATCAAATGCACCCCAACTCCTAGGGACATAAGGAATTCCCATGCCACAATTACCATTGTTCTCTTAAGAAACAATCTTTTCATTTTTCTCGTGACACTGGTTAAATATAACCAAAGCATAGAATGAAATGGGCCTGCACAATGGAGTACAAGATTGTTCTGTGCCAAATCATCCGTTGGGCTTTAGATTTTCTAATCACGAGATGGGACAAAAAAGCCTTCATTTGATGGTTAATTATAATTAATTAAAAAATACTTTATCTAACAAATGTCTCAAAGCACTAGTTAAGAGGGTGTCAAGTGTTAATTTAATTTTTGGAAAAATGAAATTAAATTCTACATCTTGAAAGAGTGGCAATAAATAGGAATGGCGGGTGTCCTTTAGAGGAAAACTTTAAAAAAAAAAACTTTAAAAAAAGTTGTTTAGAGTAACATCTCGAGCATGCTGTTATTGAGTTTCCACGGTAGCAGATGGAAAATGAGTACTGCAATAAGGAGGATATTTACTTTACACTTTTGAATTGACAGCCAGAATATTCGATTGCCATAGAAGTAATAATTACTAAATTTTATTACTACCATAAAAAGCCCATAGAAGTAATAATTACTAAATTTATTACTACCATAAAAAGCACATAACATTTACTTCCAAAATCTTTCACTTGGTTTCATTATAAAAAAAAGGGAGACCACCTAGACATCTCTAGGTCATAAATCAGTTGAAACTACTTTTCTTGCAGACGATAAGGTATATATATCAATTGAGTTTGACGATGGCAAAGTCATTGATATTTTTCATGCTTATGGTTAGCTTTGTTTGCTTTGCTCCAGGTATGGTAAAGATTATAGATTCTAGCAAGATGTCAGTGTCATCTTTATTGATATCCCATATTGTGTTTTTTTTTTTTCTTTTTTTGTTTCTGAATCAGAGTTAGTATAAGTATAGGGAAATATAATCCAAAATTTCTTTTCATTTTTCATTATTTTCAACACCTGCAGCTTTTATATATGGATTCAATATATATAAACCTCTCTTTTCCTCATCTAGAGCCACCCCCAAAAGGGTCCCAACTAGGCATGTCAATGAATCAGGTCTTACCCAGATCCAACCTAGATCCACTATATTTGGGTAGGGTTTGGATTTAATTTCTCAAATCTAAACTCTACCCAGATCTAGACCTTGTGAGAGAGTCATGGGTCTAGGTAGGGTCTGATTTTCTAGAATTATATCCAAATTCAAATCCATACCAGACCTTATCCAGATCCATATATATTTAATTAAATAATAAATATATATTAGTAAATTTATAAAATAAACTAATATTTTATGGCTATTGGATCGAATATAATAAGATTGTGTGGCATCAGAATCTGCAATCAGTGTTGTTGGTTGGGTGATTATGAGACGCGTGCCAAATTGCTTCTAGATATGGTTGAAACATTAGTGACTACTGATGATTGGATTGAATCAAAGAAAAAATGAATACGTGCTTGTAAATCTTCTTATTCTATTATTTATTTGTCATCGATCCTTAGTCAAATGACTTTTATCTTATTCATTATTTTAGTGCTGGATTACGAGATATCTATCAACATTGAGGTTTAAATAAGAAAAATAGGTACAAAATTATATTTTTTAAATAAGATTAAATATTTATATATGTTATGGTTATTTTCTTTTTTAAAAACTAAATCTAGTTGTCATTGTAATTGGTACAAACTTTTCAAGAAAAGGAGAAAAGGCAAAGGCAAACAAATGAAATATTGGATATGAATGCAATTGAATCTTTGAAAATATATAGAAGTAGTCAATAATAATTCTTTCTTTGAATTCATAATATTGCATTCAACTTGTCGAATGTTATATTAATTATGAACTCTATATATTTTATATATATTTTTACTTTAGTATGTTCACAAAATACCCATGGATGCCAATTGGATACCCAGATCCATAAGAGTTTGGGTGTGGACTTACTTTTTCAGACTCAAAAGGGTTTGGATTGGGGTGGATCTAACTGAATTAAATGGATCTAGATCCAAAACAGACCCTACCCATTGATATGCCTAGTTCCAATGGTGCTAAACTCCACTTTAATTACGACTCAGTGCAAAACACACACACACACACACAGATATATAATATGTACCTTTCTTTTTTTTAGGTGTGTTAATAATTGTTTTAGGTGTGTTAATGAATGTCATTAGAAAAACCGATAATATATGTTCCCTTTTTTTTTCTCGACTAGAAACTCCTGTTAAAAAACAAGTAGTACCTACTATCCGATCGAATATGTTAATTAAAATTTGTGACATGACAAATTTTCCTTACTTTTTGGAAGAGGTTATAGATACTTTTGCAACTAATTAGATTGGTTTTATGGTGAATGCAGTCGAGAAACTCATCCCTCTCGTCCATGCTGACAAAATTTGCGAGACTGATATCCGTGGAAATTGCACGGTTAGAAGGACTCAAGTCTGCTTAGTTCTATGTTTCAACAAATTCAAAGGTCGTCTGCGGAGATATGAGTGTCGAGAACAAGGAAGGGAAAATGTTTGTGTTTGCTATTATAATTGTTAGTTTAAAGTGGGTTTCTTGATGTACTCTGCTGACTTATCTATCATCAAGCCAAACACCACATTTTCTCTTGATTTTCAGTTTTGCTGAATATTCCATCCATAGTTCAATCACAGCAATTAAATCAAAATGCCATTTTTTAGATTTTTGGGCCATTATTACAACATCGATCTGTATTTATTCAAATCTGCAAACAAAC